GGTTCATAAACACTTTGACTACTAAAACTCCAGGGCTTTTCCATGACTTTTCCAAAACCTTCAGGTAAATATTGATGACCTAATGCTTCATGTAATGTCTACATATATGCGGTAAATAAGAAAAAAATGTATGTTTAAATTTATTACAGCATATCAATATCAAATGTGAAAATATATGTTTGTTTATTTTATATCTTTAAAATAGTTTTTACAAAATAATTTGTGTGAAAATCTTTTAGAAATGTTGGCTTGTGTTTTCATAAGACTTATTGAATAAGCACAAATTAGCCTTTAGCACCCACATTATCTTACCTCTGTAGTTAGAGACTGTTTCTGGACATGACACTCAAAATGTATCTTCAATTACGATGAATGCAAGTGAAAGAGGTGAAGCTGAAACTGCAAGTTGCTTTTTGCCCCACACAGAGAGTGTCATGTAAAGGGATAGACATGGTAATTGTATTTGAAATTTACCCAATATTATCATCTCAAATATATTAAGTACACAGATATTTGTTATACAAATTTCCAAGACTTTTCCAAAACATATTGGGTTTATTTATTTATCAGAAACTTTTCCAGGCTTGTCAGAGCAATTGCCTACTGGTTAGTGCACTGACATATGGTGCAGTTGCACCTCAGGGCGTCCCGAGTTCAAATCCCGACTCGAGGACAATTCCCGTCCCTATCCCCTCTCTCTCTCCCACTTCGTTTCCTGTCAAAAATACTGTTCTATCCTCTCAATAAAAGGCAAAAAAGCCAGAAATAAATCTTTAAAAAAAAAACTTTTCCAGGCCTGGAAGATGCCTTGTCAAAATTTCATGACTTTTCCAGGTTTTCCAGGAGCGTATGAACCCTGGAACCGTGAGATTTGTGATCCGTTAGACAACAGTATAGCCTAAGACACTAACATTCAGTGCAATTTAAAGGCTTAACCAGGGTAATTAGAAAAGTTATCTAATTCTTTCCTTAAAACCAGTAGCATCTAATTACTTTTGTCTTTACCATGATGACTGCAGGCTACATAATATTTTCTTAGTTGTTTTGCTGTTAATATTCAGCTTAAAGTGCAATTTAAAGGCTCAACTAGGTTAATTATGCAAATTAACTAATTATTTCCTTAAAAACAGTGATATCTGCACGTATCGCTCTCATTACTCCGTGTACACCGACACCTTCTCTGCTAAAATATGCATTGGATGCCTTTTACAAGTGTTGGAGAAATACGGAAACACCTTCTCAGTGAACTTATTCTTATACTTGTATATAATTGAGTTATCAGCGGCGTCGGAGAACGTGACTCTACCGGCTTCACAGTCCAGCTGAACGCGGATCTTCTGCGGCTTCTTCTTGAGTTTGAGAGGAGCGCTGGTGGGCGTCCGGGCGCGATACTCTCCTCCGTACAGCCCCACAGTCCACATACCGCGCTCAGGACTCGGAGGAAACCACTCTTTGCGTTGAACGCTCTCTTTGACCACCCCTAAAGCCCATTCGCTGCAGTCTCCTACCTCCACGTCCCAGCTGTGCCGCCCCGAGACCAAGCCCTCTGAGCCCAGGACGCACTCGTAGAAGCTGAAGCGCTCTGGGTTTTCAGGCAGGAGCTGCTCTTCTTCACTGTAGCGGATGGTGGTGAGGTCGTCGGATAGAGACACACACACGTCAGCCGTGTTTGGGTTCAGGATCACTGGAGCTGGAGGAAGAGTTGGAGAGGTGTTCAGAGTTAAATATGAAAACATTGGCGAGGTGAGCTTTCGGGTAGTGGTTTAATTGGATGCTTATTGCAGTGACACAAACACCACCAGTATTGTCACTTAAGCATTTCTAAAGTAAGAGGTCCAATCAATAAAGATCATCCGCCAATATACTGCTGTTCTGGGTTTATTAGCCTATCATACTGTTAGTACAGCTGCATTTTCTACTCACAGATCCATTGTATAATGCACTCATGAATCAAATAGGATGGTTTTCCATGCTCACAGCAATCCACGGTCAAAAAATGATGTGCTCCCCTTGATTACACACCTGCGTCCCTCTTCCCGTTTCCCTATTTGTTTATTCAGAGCTGTACTCCACCCAGAGTCCAATCAAGAATTACAATACAAAAGAAAACAAAGCGGCTCTTTACACTCATGCACTCATAAATAATTATAATAAAATATTATCTATCTATCTATCTATCTATCTATCTATCTATCTATCTATCTATCTATCTATCTATCTATCTATCTATCTATCTATCTATCTATCTATCTATCTATCTATCAAACCAACCACATACCCACTCACCCACCCATCCATTTATCCATCCATCCATTCATCTATCTATCTATCTATCTATCTATCTATCTATCTATCTATCTATCTATCTATCTATCTATCTATCTATCTATCTATCTATCTATCTATCTATCTATCTATCTATCTATCTATCTATCTATCTATCTATCTATCTATCTATCTATCTATCCATCTATCTATCTATCTATAAATATATGTATATGCCGAACAGACAAAAAATACGATCAGTTTTCATCTTTAAAAAAAAAAGTTTATTATTTAGTGGCTTAGTTCACTGAAAATGTGATGAAATATGCAATTTTAAAGGGGGTGTTCCATTTATGCGGAGCACTACATATAAAAGATATATTAAACTTTAAAAGATAATTTTGTTAATGTTATTGAGTTAAACTTGTTTTGCTGTTAATGTTGTTTTTACTACCTGACAGTCTTGTCGTCTATCCCGAGCAACAAATAATAACTTGACTTCTAGTTGATCATTTGGAAAAGTGGCAGAAGGTAGTTTTTTCTGATAAATCATCTGCTGAACTGCATCCCAATCATCACAAATACTGCAGAAGACCAACTGGAACCCGCATGGACCCAATATTCTCATAGAAATCAGTCAAGTGTGGTGAAGGATAAATCATGGTTTGGGGTTATATTGAGTATGGGGGTGTACAAATGATCTGCAGAGTGGATGGCAACATCAACATCCTGAGGTATCAAGACATTTGTGCAGCCAATCACATTACAAACCACAGGAGAGGGCAAATTCTCCAGCAGGATAGCGCTCCTTCTCATACTTCAGCCTTCACATTTAAGATCCTGAAGGCAAAGAAGGTCAAAGTGCTCCAGGATTTGACAGCCCAGTCACCAGACATGAACATTATTGAGCATGTCTGGGGTAAGATGAAGGAGGAGGCATTAAAGATGAGCCCAAAGAATCTTGATGAACTCTAGGAGTCCTGCAAGAACGCTTTCTTTGTCATTCCAGATGAGTTATGTACAAGTTATTGGAGTCACTCCAGAGATGTATGGATGCAGTCCTCCAAGCTCATGGGAGTCATACACAAAATTAACTATTTTTCCACTGCACCATAACTTTATATTCTATACTGTACATTAGTTCTGTTACGTGACAAGACTTTTGTCTTAACAAAGTCAGACTCTACTGTCCTATTTTAATAATTAAAAATCAAGGCATGATCATATTTTATTTTGCTAAAATAAGCATAATCTAGAGGCCTTTGCCTTTAATATAAGACACTTCTGATACCAAATGATCAACTAGAAGTCCAGTTATTATTTGTTGTTCCTAAAACTTGAATAGGCGACAAGACTTGTCAGGTATGCAGTGTATATACACCATGAATTTTTACTTATTTTTCAAATATTTTCACAGTGCTTTTTAACAGAGTTTTTTTCTTTTTATTTTAATCATAGCAGTTTAAATTGACTCATTTCTGATAACAAATTATTAAATAAAATGTAGAAAACGAATAAGTAAATTAAATACATATCACTAGGGGAAAAACGATCTTCAACGCGGAAGTGCGCTCGTTTTTGTGATTGTTTTCCAATTCAGTTGCCTATGAGCGAAATGACTGGGAATAATGAACGGCAAAAAATGGTCAAACTACTCCCTTTGCAAACAAGAATTTGCATGATTTTTCAGACAAAGTAGAACAATGCAATATGAAAATATCAGTTTGCAACATCAAGCAGCAAAACGAGCTGTTTTTATCATCTAAGAATGAATGGAAGTGATTGAGACCGGAAGGCTCAAGCCAAAAACATTCAAATGACTGCGTCCACTCGTATGCAGAGGATATGGTGTATAGAATAACTACTTGTGAATCTTTTTATGGCCTAATTTCTTCATATTTCACAGATCCACCAGAGCATATGTTATGTGTTATGCAGAGAGAGCGGAGGTGAGTTTGCTCTTACTGTAAGTGACTGCGCTCTGCATTTTCTCCCATACTCTGAACTTGAGCGAGCCGAGGTGTTTGGCCACATCTATCAAAGACTCCGAGATTTCCACTGGATCCTGAACTGTACAGTCCATCCTGAGACAGAAACACAGAGAGTTATTTTTCCTGAAATTGACAATAATCATCCAACTTATCAAAACTTAATATTTAATAATCATTTTTGTCTTGAAACAAAAAAGAATTAGGTTTTGCTCTTCTTAAAATTAAGCAAAATTTAAAATACAACTTAATTCAAAGTATGTAATAATAACTAGTATTTTCAGTGTGTCAAAGTATGTATAAATTAGTAGTTGAACAATCTGGGTCTTGGTAGCTAATGTCAATAATTTACTAATTTAGCATTAGTTTTTAATTGTGCTATATAAATAAACTGTCACTGTCATAACAGATGTGATTGTGTATTAAAATTATGATATTCAATTTGTAATCCAGCTTGATAATGGAAAATGACACACAAATACCCGCAGATTTTTTTTTACTTCATAATATACATAATTTTAAATATAATGTAATATAATGTTATATAACTAAAAATTCTCAAAAAAAGTTTATTAAATTTATTTATAAAGTTATTTATACAGTTTATTAATTTAACAGAATAAACAAATGTATGACAAATGTATTTAAATAACATCAAAACTGAACATATAAGACAATTAAATTGATTATTGAATATATAAATTGATTATTGAATAAATAATACAATAAATGTAACTCACTGAAGCATATCAAATATACTATTAAATGCGTATGACAAAAGTGATTTATGAAATGAAAAATAATTACCGTTCAGAAGTCTTCTTGTAGCTCTGTTTACGATAAAAACAAAAATTACCTGTTACTTCAGTTTTTTAACCCTCCTGTTGACTTACAGCTCAAAAAAAAGAGACTCATGCACCATTTAAACCTTTTGTTTTTGTATCTTGAAGTTTAAAGAAATTTTCTAGAAATTACCCCAACATTATAAAAAGTGAATGATTATCTATATTAATATTTTAATGAAGGCTGTAATGCTTTAACCTTTATAAACAATGTCTTGCTAAAACCTTAAAACTTCGCCACCTTATAATTATAAGGTTCTATCTGACCTTTTTGTCAAAACTGAGCGATTGATATATTCTTACGAAAATGACAACTTATTTAAATTATATGATGTTTTTATATATATGTTTTATCCACAAAGTCAAACTCTAGCTTGGCTCTATAAGGTTCAGCATTTCGAGCGCATGCACGAGGACCAATCAGGATCAGCATTGACAGCAGCAAAGACCAGAAAGAAACGCACAATTGCTTCTTCTCAAAATTGAGAAGAAACCTGAAACTGAAAAGATGTGTGTAAATGTGATGATTTAAAAGCATTTTTTGACATTGTTTTTTACATTGTTAGAAAAGAAACAGCTATAAAAAATTAATTATATTTTAAATGTAAAATATATTTTTTATTTGTTTACATGTAGTCAGTGAAACTTCTTAAGTGTTCATTAAACTTTGTTAAATAACTGATTTGCTCATTTTCTTTAAATTTAAAGTCTTTAAATAAAGCCTTGAAGGGCACTTAATTTATTTACTTCATGGGGCATATAATGAGATTAATATAATTCATATAAAGTATATAATTCAATACATATTACCATATTAATTACATGTGAATGTAATTTTGAACAAGAAAACATGTACATTTTGAAAAAGAAAAAAATACCTTACACTTCCAAGGCAACTACTTACAGTTGAAGTCAGAATTATTAGCCTCCCTGTTTATTTTTTTCCCCTAATTTCTGTTTAACAGAGGAAGCTTTCTTCAACAGATTTCTGATCATAAAAGTTTTAATAACACATTTCTAATAACTAATTTAATTTATCTTTGCCATGATGACAGTAAATAATATTTGACTAGATATTTTTCAAGACACTTCTATACAGCTTAAAGTGACATTTAAGGGCTCAACTAGGTTAATGAGGTTAAATAGGCAGAATAGGGTAATTAGGCAAATTCTTGTATAATGATGGTTTGCTCTGTACACTATCGAAAGAAAATTTAGCTTAAAGGGGCTAATAGTTTTGTCAAAATGGCTTTTAAAAATGTAAAAACAGATTTTTTTTCTAGCTGAAATAAAACAAAACTAGCTCATTCAGGGAATCTCCGGTATTTTTCAAGTTTGGAGTCAGCTGTTTTCCAGCAGTTTTGCAGTGGAGCGATGTCAGAAGTGGCTGACGTCAGACACTCATTTTTTAACCGTAGCGCCAGGAGTCTAAGGGTGCTTTCACACCTACACTTTTGTTTCGGAACGTATCTCGTTTGCCCAGTTAGCGCGGTTCGTTTGGCATATGTGAACAGGGCAATCGCGATCTGTTCTGCGCCAAAGTAATCGCTCCGAGATCGCTTGAATGAGGTGGTCTCGGGTCGATTGAAATGAACCCTGGAGCGGTTCGATTGCAGTGAGAAAGCGATCAGATCCGAGCGCGGTTATATCACAGTGTTTTATGGATATGTAATAGGCTTACGGCTATATGAAGAGAGAATTAGGAGTATGGCGGGAAGTTTCGCGAGTCTCTGGATGCCCACAAACGAGTGATGATCTCCCGGTAATCTCACGTCTCCCTCCCGGTCATCAAATAGGCATCGTCGCGCACCCTTCTCACCCCTCCCCACCACATCTCTCCTCAGACACGTCGCGCGCACGCGCACCTTGTCAATCACCACCAAACCACCACCTCTCCTGACAGCTGAGCGGGACTCTGCAAAATAAACCCTGAAACTCTGTCCAATGTGAGGAGAGTTTACTCACACGTGACTTGTTTTAGCTCTTTTGGTCCGTTTAAAAACTTTGCAGTGTGAAAGCGAACCGCTCCAAGAGCAACAATCTAACAATTGTAATCTCTGTTTCGGAACAACTGAATCGATTTACAGGTGTGAAAGCACCCTAAAACAATTGAGGTTGGTTTTATTTTCACACATTCATTTGTTTCAACTGACCCTATATTGTTTATCACAATACTTTGAATATTCACTCTGAAATCGCATTTACATACAGTATGACTTCAAAACAACATTAGGACTATTTAATTGACTGTGAACAATGATGTACTCTGATATTCATTGCCTGCCAATATGATTTCACTATTTAGAATGATCAAACAATACTTTTCTGAAATTACATTGTTGAGGAAAATTTCTGACTGTGCAGATATAAAACCAACTTTACCACAATGATAAAACAGGAGGTTTAAACAGCGCCAAGTCGTTATGAATGTGATATCTAAAAACGACAGACCTTCAGTAAACACCATTAATATAAACTCTTGATGTATTTGTGTACCTTGAGAAACGGCATGTCCTCAGCGCTCATGGCCTCCTCTGCGGAAGTGAGGGTTTCTTTGAGCGTCGTGATCTCGTCGGTCAGCCTGTCCATCTGCTCCTTCATCTTCTGGCTCTTCTGCTCCTCTTCCTCACTCAGAGCTCTCAGTACGGACGTCTCCTCGTCATGCAGGAACTGATGGAGCTTCTCGAAGTTTTCCTTTATCAGGCGCGCTGTGTTCTGGGCCTGTCTCTGTGCAAACATCAGACAATTTCAGAAAATAATAGATACTGACAGGTTTTTTGAGAGACAACTTCTGACTAACTAACCTATATTTAGGTTAGGGCTGCACAATATATCATTTCAGCATCGATATCGCAATGTGTGCATCCGCAGTAGTCACATCGCAGCACATGCAATGTTGGATTTATAGTTTAATATAGAGTTTAATCATAATGGAGTAAAAGTTTATCATCTGCATGCAATTTTAAAGAGATAATTCACCCAAAAATTACTTACCCTTTACATTCAATCAAGTGAAGGGTGAGTAAATATTGAGTGCATTTTCATCTTTGAGTAAACTGACCCTTCAGAGTTTAAAACATCCAGCCTAATATATATATATATATATATATATATATATATATATATATATATATATATATAGCCTTATATTACATTTAAAAGTAGTCATTTAATAGTAATACACTTAAAAATGTTTGTTTAATATGAGGTTGTATACTAGTATTCCACTGTATTACTGTACATAAACAGGCATAGCCATTTGAGTTTTGAATAAGCCAAATAGGCTAAAAAATGATATATATATATATATCCAAATTAAAAATTATATATATAAATTCTAAAATCGCCTCTGGTTAGAGTTCTGACGTGTGTTTTTACATCTTTAGCCCGCTAATGCTCCGTTCAAAAACCTTCTGTGACTTGCAGACAAGGGAGATCTGGAACAACATAGGGTCCCACTTTATATTAAGTGGCCTTAACTAATACATGATTTAATACATGTATGTAATTGCATCTGTAATTACTTTTGTATTTACATTTGTAAATACACTGTTGACCATCCCTTACACCTTAACCCACCCTTAAACCTACCCATTCCACCAAACCTGTCCATAACCCAACCTCTATCCCAACTCAAATGCACCACAAGTGTTCTCAAATACATTATAAACACAGTAAGTACATTGTATTTATTTTTTGATGTAAGTACATAGTAGTTAAGGACACTTAATATAAAGTGGAACCCAACATAGTAAGCCACTTGACATACATACTTTGCATGCAGGATTATTGATGTATAGACACACTAGTTAGCAAAGTGCGCTAATTTGTATTTCTATTTTTTTAGCTAGTGTAAGTTGAAGACTTTTCTTTTTCATATTATTATTTTCTTATTTAGTGGATTGGGTAAGGGATTAAGGGAATATTTTTGTTATATTTATTTCTTTGATCTGCTAGCGCAAACTTCAGTTCCCTCTCCAGTTTGTTTTGGTTCTTTTCAACATTATCTTATTGTTTGTAAATATTGTAAATACTGTGGGAGCAATAAATCTTTGCGATGCTAATTCGTTATTTTGTGTTTTCTCTTGCCATCTTCATCATCAGTTTATTCTTTGGTCATCTCTTTGTTACTATTCCTAATTCCCATGACATATTTCCAAGGATCGTAACACAGTTGAAGCCTGAATTATTAGCCCCTCTGTTTATTTTTTTCCGTTATGTTTAACGGAGAGCAGAATTTTTTCAACAAATTTCTAAACATAACAGTTTTAGTAACTCATCTCTAATAACTGATTTATTTTATCTTTGCCATGATGACAGTACATAATATTTGACTAGATATTTTTCTATACAGCTTAATGTGACATTTAAAGGCTTAACTAGGTTAATGAGGTTAACTAGGCAGGTTAGGGTAATTAGGCAAGTTATTGTATAACGATGGTTTGTTCTGTAGACTATCAAATAAATGTATAGTTTAAAGGGGCTAATAATTTTGACCTTAAAATAGTTCTTAAATTTAAAACTGCTTTTATTTTAGCGGAAATAAAACAAATAAGAATTTCTCCAGAAGAAAAAATATTATCAGACATACTGTAGTCTTTATATTTTTAGAATAAGTTTTGGGTGATGAGACATTCTAGGGAGAGAATTATATTACATTAATAATATCTTCTGTGTTCTGAAAACTATTGTCTTACGGTTTTGGGCCAGCCCATAGTAATGATGAAATAGTAATACATTTCTGTTTGTGGTGACAAATTCTTAAAAGGGTTAGATAGCTGATCACTTCCATTAATTCATATTCCTACAGCTTAGTCCCTAGTCCCTTTCATTTGAGCTTTAATGCTTGTGTATTTATTTGACTTTTTATTTATTTATTTATTTTTAAATCTAGTTAGAGAATTGTTCAAAAATTAAACACTGTAGTGCAAAGTCAACACAAATATTGTGTTTGGTTCCAGTGTGTGCATCTGGAAGGATCAGAGACTTTCCTCTGTTAAAACACTCAGAAGCAGTCTGGATGTGCTGTTAACGTTGGCTTGCGCTGATCTTACCCTGATGTGCAGTGAAGTTTCCTGGCAGCTTTTCTTGGCTGCGTTTAAGGTCTCCAGTTTCTCTTGCAGGGGTCCAAGAGCTTCTCTCAGCTCCCTCTGAAAACAAACGAATCACTGTCAGTTCCTAAACGTCATCATTTAAAACTTATCCATCAGAAGTGACACTTTCACGATTCAAACCTACACTGCAAAAAATGCTTTTCTTACTTAGATTTTTTGTTTTGTTTCTAGTCCAAATATCTAAAAGTTCTTAAATCAAGAAGCAT